TAGAACCAGGCCGTCAGAACATAGGACATAGGATCACTAGGAGGTGACGTGATGGACTGCAAACCCTGCCGGTCAACATCAACTAACCATGTGCAAAGTCTCATTGCAGCGTCTGGAAGTCTGTGTAATAGGCGTGAGTCTCGGGGTCAACGGATTGCTGTCTGCTGTCCCCCGGACGTCCGCACTTCATGGACACACTCACAAGACTAGCAACGCCCATCAACCTCAGCCGCTCTTTCAAACCCGGGCGACCTGCTTCGTGGCCACATAGGAGCTGCAATCGATGGGCATGGCAGTGGGGGTCAAGTGGGCACAAGCCACCTCAGAGCGACGGAGCATCAGCGACAGCGTCAGCCACGGCCACGGCGTGAAGCACGGCGAACCTTCCCGTTTGTTCCAGGACTTACAGCGATTCCATGCGATTCCCAAAGGAACATGGCTTGGTCAAGAATTGACGTTCTTCTCAGCGTGCTCCCCATCCACTTGTTTGCCGCACCCACGGTGGCCTCCTTGGCCGCTGCCTGCTGCTGGTGCCCAGAGCACTCCACCTGCTTGCTGCCGTGCGCGGCCGTCGCATTGCTGCAGTTGGCCTTCCGCATCCTGGTGCAGCTCCACAACGGTCTTTCGAAGGGAGAGCCATTCAGACAATGTTCCTGTAAAGACCCACTGGCTGGACAGCACTCTTTCGGGGGGGACGGGCTAGAGGTACCCTGGAAGTGCGGTGGTCAAAGGTCATTCTGCATCCACAGAGCTTTGGAACATGTTCACAGATTCACTTGTAGACTGTAGTGTTGCTTGGTTGGTTGCTTGATTCATTGATGTTGCTTGCTCTGCTCTGCTCTGCTCCGCTCGCTTGCTTGCTTGCTTCGTTGGTCCAACAAGCAAGGACCACTGCACATGCTCTCAACTCCAAATCCCTCCCATCATCTGATCATCTGCAGATTGGGTCCCTGTTCCTGACGGGTGTCGAAAAGCTAAGAGTCTGGTTCATGTTGAACTTCCAAACAGGAGATCCTGGAGAAGCTGACATGGCTGTGGGTCCAAACCTGGAGCCCTGGCCCACCACGTCGCGAGCGGTCAAAAAACCTGGCGCCATGCCCCACAGCCACAATCGGTCCTGAAGTCCGCAAGCATCTCGATGTTCCGCTGCAGGTAGGCTTCATAGCTGCTGCTCGCAGGAAAGTCACTGAGCGCCAGGTGCGACGCGAATCGTGAGATTCAGTCACGATTCGTGCGGTTTGGCGGCTTGGACACCCTTAGTCTTCACCATTCGGTTCCGTAGTCTGATAGCAAATTTTAGGATAGATTGGTTCTGATGCATGTCCCAAAACTTCAGCAACGACAGCTTGAAAGAATCCAAAAGAACTAATCACACCCAACCCAGTATGTGTAAAGGAGATCTCCAAGGATAGAAAACGGAATACAAAAGCCAGCTCACTAAGAGAAGGAACCAAGATCATGCTGGATGATTCACCCCAGGAGAGGACTAAGAAAGGAAAACCGGCAATGGTAATCCGCCATGATGTTGAGTGCTGACAAGACATGTAGGATTCATACCCAGTATGCCAGATTCAGCCAAGGCACTCCTCATGACAGAACCACGACTGAAAGTTGTCAGTCCTCAAATGTTGATCCGAGAATGCATGCGTTTCTTAAGAAACACGACCACGACTATCAACTTTCGCTGCTTCAGCTTTCGCCCATTACACTCCGGTCTTAAGATGCTTTCTGCACATTCCAAGCCCGGCAAAACGTGAAAGTTCTGAACTGCTTTCTTGCTTCCCACTTTACCCTTTCGTCTAACAAGCTGGATCCACGTGTAAGGCATAGTTGTTAATAGATAGCCACACAAATAGATCATGAAAAACATGGACAAGGGAGTCAAATGTCTTGGACATCATGTTCGTCTACCAGGAAAAAACACAGAACACCCCGACTGGTTTGCGAAAGCCCAGCGTCCGATCCACCGACTGGAAATACTCGCACCGAGCGGTGGCCGCCACCTTCAGCATGTCTTCCTGCCAGATCTGGTCTTTGGATATCAGCGTTGAAGGCGCTGCTTCAGCACAGAAAGCGGATCGCACTACCCAGGTCACATCGTACAATGGGTGGTTATCTGCAACAACCGGTATGCGTGTGAAGGATGTTGAAAGCCTAGCGACAAAGCCCCCTGACAACTCGAAGTTCGAGCACGAGCGCGCGAAGTTCATGCGTGCGATCGTTCTCTGGCCTGTCGGTAGCAGCTGGTGTACGTGCTGTTCAGTGCCTCCCAAAAGCAATGGACATTTCTGCGTCATGGGAAACCCTTCCGCAAACGTAGCAACTTTTTCCCATCGACTATTGGTTTACTGGAGGAGGATCCGGAAGGATCCTTTTCCCAACTTGCGAAGCTTGGCGATGATTGGAAGCCATCGGTTCCCCGGTCCGCCTCAAACCATCGGATCGACCTACCAGACAAATGGTGAATCTTTCTTCAGAAGATGCCTCAAGAAAGGCAGCCTCTGGGGTGTTGGTAGACCTTATTGGGGCACGGCCAATAAGGTATTGTGGTTTTAAGAGTACGAACATCGAAGACTTGTGAAATCTTTGGAACATCTTAAGGCGAACAAATGATGCTGTCCACGGTCCAGCATGTTCACATGTTCACATGGATGCTGGACCGTGTGAACATCTTCGATGAAAACTTCCCACGTCTCACGTCTCTCGGTGTATGACGCGCGCTGACAAGCACACACACGAGCGGCGGCCTCGAATTCAGCTTGGCACCTCAGCTCCACTCACCATCACAGCTTTGCCAAGTGCGCTCTCGTGCTCGACCCAGTGAGTGGAAGGAACTGTGCACTTTCGGTGGAGACTCGAAGCATTTTGCGGGTATGACTCACCGTGCCAAAGGACCATGTGCCGAAGATAAGAGATCTTCCAACAAGCTGAAAATCTCTTTCGCACCTCCCGGTTCTCTTCCGATCTAGGTTGCTTGGGGCAAGTGCTGTGTCACTCATCTGGCATTTTGTAACAGGAGCTAGACCAGGACTTGACTTCAAAAACATAAACGAAAAAATATTCAATCATGCTCTACACATCAAGGAGGGTGTGGCTCTAGGAGTGAGAAGCACATCCAGTGCCAAGACCAGATACCAAAAGATTCGATCAAATTGACCAAGCTGCGCATTGTAGGCCGCGGTGGTGTCTGTCCAGTTGGCTTCTTTCCTCAGCTCAAAGTCCAAGCAAAACAGTCAACCATCCATGGGTTGCCATCCAATCCCCCAAAACCCAGGGGTGCATTCACATGCCCTAAAACATAGCCCATGGTCCCATGGCTCTGAAAACACCTGCAAAGTACTGCAACCTTTGGCTCCGAAATAGGCAATTGGCAAACTGCCCGTCTTGGAGGACTCCTTTTGAAGACTTAGGATCACCCTAACGATTGGACATCAGGCACCAAAGCTTCATTTGCGAAACTTCCCTGATTGCAGTCTGACCGTAACAAAGTGAAACCACCACCACCACCGCCGCCACCACCACCACCAGCAACAACAACAACAAGAAGAAAAACACAATTCACCACACCACACCACACCAAACAACTATATAATTTGAAAACGCTAGGTCGAGGTGACTTGATAAACCAAGCCAATGCTCAAGTTCAGTTTCAGCAGTGAATTCTGGTCGATGCATGCAACCAAGAATCTTCACAGTCTGCGCATGAGCTAAGTCAGCCGTCTTCTGTGTGCTACAGCTATCGAATACGCTCTGATTGGTCACCGATTTCCTTGCCAGCAGCAAAACATTTGGGATTTGGTACTGGGTCAAATCATCCTGCAGCCCTAAATGCAAAAAGGGTTGAAGGCCTGATGTCCTACATCATCTACACTTGAAGACCCAGAGACTGGCCTTTCCTCTCCATTTCTTGCAGTGAACAAACACAACAAGCAACACGTGGAATATTCTGCACAATCAATCTCTGAGTTCACGTCTGAGCAATGGTGTGCTGACCTGAGTGTTGCCCAATCATTGAGCCTGTGTCTGTTCTGGCCATTAATCTATCATACAATGTACAAAACCATCTGCATCTTGTTGGAAACAAACAGACCCACCCTACGCTGAGAGCGTTCAAACCTCCATTTGCACACTGCGAGTCTCCCTGCGCCACCGCCACCTTTTCCAACCATCCGGTCGTTTAGACACTGAACATGTCAAGCTGCTAGTGATACTGTCGAGAAGTCCCTGCAGCAATGTCTTGATGGAATTCACGGAGCTTTCACGTGTTGCAGGGTCCTGCAAACATTAAGAGACTCAGTGCTGTCCCCGAAAAAGAAAGCAAAAGTGTGGCTTATTTACCCAACAAGGAAACAGAAAAAATAAAAAGAAGCGATTGCTGGAAGAAGTTACTTGGGCCGAAGGAAGGCTCAAGCTTCGGAAGGTCCTGCTTGGACAGGGACTCAGCCATGGCAGCTAAGGAGGACCTCGGCCGGGGAGTCCAGGATCTCATTGTTCAATCCTTTTGCTATCAAAATGACATGACTCCCCTTGGAGGCAATGGAAATGTCTTTGAGTTCATGTTTTCACCGCATTCGTTCGACTTCTCTATGCTCCGGTGCTCTTTTCACCCATAGAGGTCAGTCACCTCCTAGCAGAGGTCGGTGGCTGCTGGGAGTTCCGGACACCATGGGGTCCAACGGCTTCCCCTTTTCGCTCAGCAGCGCGGCCAGCGCCTCGGCGCCGCCGAAGAAGGGGCGATAAAACGCCGCAAAACGCCAGGAGAGAGGAGGTTTGATGAAGCTTGATGTATCGGAGAATCAGTGGTTCAAGCCGCATCCGCTTCCCATACTACTTCAAGCTGTTTTGCCAAACAAGCAACGATGTCGGAACGAATCTGTGAGGTTCTTCGACCTCTGAGCGGGGAGTGTGACATCCTGATCTGAATTCATACACTCTGCTACTGTTACAAAAGTAGCGACATGTCATGTCCCCTTCAACACCGAATGACGGGAACAATGCCTGAGGCCTGACAGCCTGAGGGCCTTCTCCTTTCTCCTTTGAAGGTAAACTGTAACTTGTGACCAAACGTAAGAACAGTCTCTTTCTAGAGCCCAACCAAGGAGAGGTATCTTTATGTCAGGAGTCAGTTGACTAGAAAGTGAGACCAAGCAAAAAGAATGGCTTTGAGTTTGTGAGGTCAAGAATTCGGCACCGTTGTCAGGTTTGACAGATTCCCTTCCAACCTGGAAATGGAGGTGTTTGGGCAGCCAATCAAATCCATCTTGCTTTGGCGTCCAAAATTTCCGATTCCCAAATCCTTCGTTGATTTCGATTGTTCATTAAACTCCTCTGTCCAAGCTCAAAAACTCGCAAGTCCTCCAAGCAAAATGGTTCTTTGATGCTCTTGGAAACAAAACCTACCACCTTGAAGCCAACCTATGTGTGCTTCAAAAACAGACAAACCCAAACTGATTGTGCTATGGGCACCTGGTGGCTTGGCAGCGCCCCGCTGGTCACGCCTGAGTGTTGTCGAGAATCGGACGTGGGATTTGAACCTGTCCATCTTCCCTGACACGGGCGTTTTTCTTCAGCTGCACCTCAATAGAAAGTTGTTCGACCACTTGCATCACATGGAGCACTAAGTCACTAGGGCCCCAGCTTGGCGCCATGAACCTGTGGGCAGGTCGGTGCCCTCCATTCCAAGATTGTTAAATAAGCTCGGCTTGGAGCTATCATGGTTTGTCACTTGATCCTCTTGTCTCCCTGTCTCTTCTTTTCTTTCTCATCTCTTCTTTTCACTATATACCCCAAGGAAAAGACTGCAAGGTTAAATCAAAGTTGAAGACCAAGTTGTTTCTCGTTTGGATGGAAACACCAAGCCGGCAAATTGAGGTGCAAACTTGGCAGCCAAGGCCAAGGGCACGACGATGAGGAAGCCTCCAAACAGGAATGCGGCAGCATCAAGGTGTTGAACAAAGGTCTCCCAAAGCAAACCCACACGGCTCCGCGGCTCTCTAAGGAATTCGAGGCCCATGGAAACGGTCCAAACTAGCCAATCAAATACATGTCGTCCGGAGCCTAGAAACTGCATTGCGAACATGGCTGCGAGGATGTTCAAACTAGCTACACCCTCGAGCCAGCTCCAATGGGTTTTGAATGGACACTGTATGCATGCATCACAACACCATAGTAGGACTTGACATGAACGACAGGACAGCAAACTGCCATCTGATTGACTCAACCTTACTGTAAGGGTTCCTTTGCTATTCTGCATGGCGACGTGGAGAAACGAAAAAGAATTGGAAAACCTGTTTATAGAGATACGGCACAAACCAAACCATATAGCACCACCTCAGAACCCCCCTCGAGAGGATTGATTTGGAGCTGGATGTTAATCAAGCGGAAAATCTGCAACATGGGAAGGGGGAATGTAGCCTAACTTACATCATGACCAACATGATTTCTGTTTGAAATCGTCAGCTCACCAAAACGAAGATCCATGGTCCATGGTCCATGTCCCAAGCCATTGAATCCATCCCAACGCCGCTTTGATCGTTTCCGGTTATGTTGAGCTGAATGAAGCTTGGCATTGGAAATTGCAACAAAAAACGGAACATTAGCAACAAAAACTAGGTTAAAAATTGAAAAATATATAGGACAAAATTAGGATAAACATAGGAAAAACATATGACAAAAAATAGTGACAAAATAGGGCACACACATCTAGAAAACACAAAACAATTAACCAAACAAGAAGAACAACTAGAAGCACGGTTCCTTTTTTACCAATTATTGTTTTTGAAAAACAAGCGAAGCTCGCGCCGGCTATTTTCAAATCGGCTTGGGCCACTGTGAGCCACGAGGGTTGTGAACATGTTCTGTGACATGTGTCAAGGAATGAAACTCCTAACACTCCACCTAAAAAGTATGGTGAGCAACCATACCTTTTTCCTTCTTCATTCAGACCTCGCCGGTCTCCACATAGCGGCGGGCGTACCCGTCGAAGTCGCTGTCCCACTGGTTCGTGATCACAGCCACGCTGAAGGCAGCAAAGTCTTTTTGTTCTTCTCGTGTCCAACTCAAAAGGTGGTCGAACACCATGTGACTGTAGCGTCCACCATAGATCGACGTCAGTCGAGTCCTCAGAAATTCCTTAAGCTGGTTGTTGGGGAAAATCCCAGCTTCTTTCAACTTTCGTGCTCGAGGTTGCTCATCCGGTTTCAGCCACCGGATCAGGGTGTCATAGTCCCACCAATCTTCATCCACAGGCGGTATCTCTCCAGGCGGATCAGCCCACACACCACGGGTTCGTTCTTCAGCTCGTTCTGCACTTCGTCTGAGCTGCTCATCAATCTCTGTCTCATCAATCTCCATTCATCTCTTTCGGATTGGCTAGGGCGATATCTCCTTTGGTATCCTCCCAGAGGATTGCTCATGAAGTACTCTTCACCACTTTCAGCATCATCTGAGTGTTCAAGAATTCTATACTCTTGTAGTCGTCCAAGTTCAGGATTCCAGTCTGTGAGCCAACTGCCGGTCCACTCGATGTACCATGACCTTGCATTGCTCCAGTCTTGAGGCTGTTCTGCTTCTGGTTCTGATTCTTCTGGTTCTTCTCCATTGGGGTCGTCCAATACCCTGGTTTCAGGGTTCACTTCATTCACCTCTTCTCCTTCATCTCTGGAACCTTGAGGTAGTAGAGGTTCATAAACTCGAGGTTCAGGATCTGGACGCCATTCTTCAATTCCAGCAGCCATGCTTGCTCGCGTGATCATCCCAACCTGATCACGTAGATCTTGTTCGCGTTGGAACTCCATTGTCACTTCCTGTCGCAGGAATCTGCAGCATGTCCTGAAGCACATGGAAATCTTCACCCTGTACCTGTAGCCCATGTACACACTGAAGGCAAACACAACCATGGTATAGACGGCTACAATCTGGAAGAGCGTCCATCCCATCCAGATGGTAGTTCACGAACTGCAGAAACTTCTTCCCCTCGCACTTCTCGATGTAGAAGCATCAAAGTCACTGCTCTCACCAGGTTTGTTGGGATCTTGGTGCCATGGCTGTTGTCATCAGTAAACACTGCCTGAACCATCTCGTTCTTTACCTCCTTCATCTTCTTGGCAAGTACTTTCTTTTCCACTTCTCTGTTGAAGGCGTCTTCTCCAACTCGAGTGAAGACTTCCTCCCTTCCTTCTGCTTGCATCTCCATGAGGCCAATCAAGTATACATGAGAAATTCACGTCGTTGTCGGCTTAGGCGTTTGGTCCCCAAGTCCGCGACGTTCCACAAAGTTGGAACGCCTTCCATCTTCAAAGTTTCTTTCTTGACCTCAAGCTGCATCCAGAGGTACTTGATGTCGATGTGTTTCAGCCTGCCAACTCCAAGTCTCTCCGTGAAGGCTCTGCAGGAACTGCTGTCGGTGATGGCTTTGATCAGCACTGGTCTTCTGCTTATGAACTGCCAGAGATCTTTCACTTGTATTGCTTCTGCCACACCACCAGCCGAGGCAAGGAATTCAGCCTCGCAACTGCTCAATGCAATGCTCTTCTGAGATCTACTCCAGCTAGTCACCATGCAGCCATTGAGAAACATGCAAATTGAGCTTACACTATGCCGTCGTCGAGCTTGACTGCTTTTGTCTCCAGCCCAGTCGCTGTCAGTGAAAGGTCCTTCATCTTCCTCCACCTGGCACAGAATCTCTGCTTTCTTGCTTCTGTACTTTTGGTATGGCAACAGGAGTCCATACTGTTCGGTCCTCCGCAAGTAGAGGATAGCATGCTTGATCTCCATCTCAGCCTTTCTTGTGGGTCGTGCCATGAACTGGCTCAAATTGCGGATGCAATGCTGGATGTCGACCCGGTCTTGACTCACATACATTAAAGTTCCCAAAGCTGAGCGAAAGCGAAATTGGTCAGCTCCTTCTAGAAGTTCATCAGAATTGCCTTCAAGTTCAACCTGCATGCTTTCTGGAGTTGCTTTGCCTGCTTTCTTCTCCAAACCATAAAGTTCCACCAAAGCAGGAATGTACTTCTCGTGAGGCATGATCACAATGCCATCTTTTGTGAAGTAGTGGCGCTTCTTCAGGCATCGTATTGCTTCCTCCTCCGACTGGTCAGCGCGTGGAAGAATCCCTGACTCACTCAAAGTGAACTCATGGTTCATGGAGCCAAGCAGCCATTCCAAAGACTCCACCTCGCCAGCGATGATGAGGTCATCAACATGGCAAACAGCTGCTATTGCCTTGGTCTCATGGCGAAACAAACAAGGCAAACTCAAATGACTCTTGAAGCCTCACTTCACCAAATGGTCTGCAAGGAACTCATACCATCGTGCTGCAGCATCTCGTTGTCCTGGCCAACACCTTGCAAGCGTCCAGTAGCGCTTTCTTCCCATCTCCAAGTCACCTTTCTTTGGGGTTCCACCAATCTGGCTGTTCCACCAGCACAAGCTTTTGTTGTCGAACTAAGAGGAATGCGTCCTTGATGTCGACAAACATGATCTTCCAACCAAGAAGCACATGTGTGGAAAGAAGAAGGCGAGTCCCGCTCAATGAACTTGTAGGTGCAAAGGTCTTGGATGTAGATCCATCTGAACCACGGAACTCCCTTGCCACGAAGCGGCACCTGCGCTTCCACTTCCTTTCTCTCACGCGCCAATCAAAGACACTTCTTGTTGTCAAAATATCGCCAGTCATCAATTCTTCTTCTGTTGGATCTCTGAGCACACCCATTTGCAACAATCTGTGAATCTCCTCTTGTCCAGCTGCTTCTTCAATCACCCTTAATTCTTCTTCACTCACCCCAGGAGGACATCCTTCGTCAAGAGCATCGATGTCAAGTGGATCCCAATCCTGAGTAGCTTCATGGTCAATGAAGGACTCCATTTCTTCCTCCCAAGGTTCATCATTTACTGGATGCTGAACTTGTCGAACATCTCCCGCAAAGTACGGTGTGCGCAAGCTTGAGGGACTGTGCGCTGGATCTCTTCTTGCTGCTTTCTGTTGAGGTTCATCTACCTTGCTGTCATCAACCATTTCTTCACCTCGTCGAGGAGTCAAAGGTAACTTGACCTCAGGTGTGCTAGGTCTTCTCTTTCCAACCTCTGTCTCTTCTTCGTCACTGCCCATTGGCAGAGGTGGGACACGAATGAACTTGTCCGCTGGCTCATCTTCATGCTTTCCATCACTCTTGCTCTTGTTCTTCTTCTCCTCCATGGGGCTGTCTGTTCCTGCATGCTCACGTGCGTAGCGCTCCACATCATCCGCATCCTGGTCTCGCTGGAAGGTGTCAGTGTCTCCTGGCGCTGGTGTCTCCAATCCTCCACCTGTGTTGCCACTGCCTTTCGGTCTTCCAGGTCTCCGTACACCACGAGGGATCATGGGTGTTGCAGGCATCAGCTTCAAAGGACGTCGAATGTGAGGATTTCGATATGGCTTCTCTTTCACCAGGAAAACATAGACCGACCTCCAAGGCTCTGAAGTCCTTCGAATAGCTTAATAGCTTTGCCTCTCAGCAACCCATTATGTCCCACAACCAGGTGAAGGTCATCCTCATGCGTCTTTCCAACCCAAACTCCAGGCAACCATTGTGGACCTTGCTTTGCACCAGGTTGTCGATTGAGGATCATGACATATTCTCCAAAGCAAACTACCTTCCCACAGTATCGTCTTCCAAAGGCCACTTCATAAGGTGAAGCTTGAATGGCTCTGTGGGATGCAAATCTGTTCAAGATCCAAGCTGCGTGCAAATAGGCCCGCTGCCAAAGAGGATGGTCACCCCCCAAGTTGATTTTGCATTGGTCCTGCAGCATTTCCATCAAGGTTGATGCTTGTCGCCTCAAAGTTTGGATGCCTCTCTCAACTCGACTTGTCTGGCCTTTCTTCATGCTGAAGGTGATGGTTGTCTCGAGACCCAGTCCTTGGCGAAGGGTCTTCACATAGCTTAGCAAAGCTTTCATTGTTGGCTCACTATCACCAATTATCTCCACATTGCCATACTGGTTCAAGGACAGGCTGAAGCGCACCACATGCTCTGCTTGGTTTCGGAGGTCATCACCTTTTCCTTCGACTGGAACTGCAAGCATCATTCTTGTTTCTGCATCCACTCCGACCAAAATGGTCACAAGATCTTCTGGGGG